TTCACGTCAATCTCTTTTGGCCTGCAAAGTTTCTGTTGAGAAATCAACTGACAGTCTTTTGGGAACTCCTTTGTACATAACTAACTACTTTTCCCTCGTTACTTTTATTATTCTCTCCTTGTCTTTAATTTTTGGTATTTTAATTATGATGTGTCTGGGAGTGGGTCTTCTTGTTTGGGGTTCTTTGTGCCCCCCTAAACTTGTGTGACTTTTTCCTTTACCAACTTAGGGAAGTTTTCTACCATTATTTCTTCAAAAACTTCTATTCCTTTCTCCCTTTCTGCCTCTTCTGGCACACCTGCTATTCTAATATTGTTACATTTCATATTATCCCACAACTCCCTTATGCTGTCCTCCTGTTTTTTAATTGTTTTTTTCCTTTTGGTTCTCTAATTGAGTGATATTTTCAACTCTGTCTTCTAATTCACTGATTGGATCCTCAGCTTCCCCTAATCTGCTGTTTATTCCTTCCAATGTGTTCTTTATTTGTATTATGTCATTCTTTATCTCAGACTGTTCTTTTTTCATAGTTACTATACCCTTTTTCATACTGTTTAGCATTTTTAACATCATTACTCTGAACTCTGTTTCAGATAAAGTTCTTATCTCTGCTTCATCTCTTCTGGAGAACTTGCTAGTTCTTTCATTGGGGGTTGTTTTGTTTCCTCATTTTGGTTGTCTGGGTTTGTATCTATGTTTTAGGTAGATCTTCTATACTTCTCAATCTCTAATGCAGAACAGTGTTAAAGACTGTTTCTGACTAATTGGATCAGGCAAAGACTCAAAGACTCCAGACACCACCTCTGTCTACAGAGGCTAATTGCTACTTTTAATCTCTTAAAGGGCCTCAGGGCAAGGTGTTTTCCAATAGGGTGTGTAGATTGTCTTCCCCCGCAAGCAAGGCAGATGTCTGTGTAGGAAAGATGTCCTCTGCTGTTTGAGGGAATGACTCAGCCCAGGAAACTTGGGGTGTCTGCCTTCTGAGCTCTATCCCCTTAGTCCCCAGTCCTGGGTTCTGCTGTCAAAGCTTCAGTCCACTTCACCCTCCATCTGCCAGAGCACAAGGTGGGTGGCTCCACAGGGAATTTTTGTGCATTGGCCCTTTTAGAAGGTGCCAGAACTTTCAGCTGCCACTCCCTGGCAGACAGCACCCCACTGCGTTCCACAGCTAGATG